GATCTAACATGTATCCTTACCTGTGCTCGGTCGGATTCGGTTCGGCTAGCCCTCCAACTGCTCTCTAGGCGTCTTTTCCGTCTTTTCAATATTAGCTGCCTTGAGTTTTTTTATAAAATATAAATAAATGCAGGACAAAACAATCTAAAAAAACCAAACCTCTGATCATTCCTTGTATAAAAGTAATCATTTCATTAGAAATGACCATTAATTGTATTTTATGAACTCTTTAGAAATAAGCCTGACTGAACTTGGTGGAACTTACTGTATTTCTAAGTAAACATACAGGTGTTGCTTCGTTTCATTCCTATTTTTCATCAGACGTTTATTCCACTGAGCTTATTCCCATAAGTAGAGTATATTTCATTGTGTCATTATTCTGGATTAAGTAATTAAAATAATCAACTGCAATATAGAAGCAGGATGTATTAATGCCTTTAATTGTGTTATTATTAATAAATAACTGCTTTTTTAAAAGCCAAGTTGGCAGTGTATCAGTTACAAAAAGGAACGAAACACAAAATAAATGTCACTGACAACCCTGATTCAGAGCATAATAAAGCACAAAACATAAAGCACTGGCATAGGAACTAAGATTTTTCTCTAAGATGTCTCAGCCAATTCTATGGGAATAGACCAATATTCATACTTGATTTCATTAGTGTTAAATATTAAACTATTAATAAAGCCTACTATGTTAGATGATATATTAAATGCATACAATTAATTTTGGCAAAATTATAATATACCACTGAAACTCAGTTCAAATATGCATAGTCAGAGCTTGAAGGAATACTATTTAGTAGAGTGACCAGATCTGGGTTGTTAAAATATAGATAACCACTAGATAGGAGCAAAGAGGTACAACTTTCTATACCTCCTGTCTAATGGGCATCTGAATTCTTGCAACCAGATCTAATAGCTCTATATCTAATTACCTTCTCCTGCATAAAAAGTCATAAGCATCTTGGCGGATATTAAGCTATTTTTTAAAATTTCCAACAATACTCCTGTCACAACATTGTTTCAGTGAATCATGGGAACTTCAATTAGTGTCTCTCAGGCAAAAATGTATTAAAAGAGGAGACATTTGTTATAATCCTTCCCAATGTACTGGGCCCCAAAATAGCTTTGTATTGAATCTATTTTTTTCTGGCATGCCTGTTATATTGAGAATGCTTTTCATTTGTTTCTAATTTAAATACAAAGTTGTTTGTCTATACAAAGTGCATGCAATAGTACTTCTAAACAAATGAACTGTAATATAATACTATATTCAATCTTTTTATTTCTAACATATTTTTGAGCAATTGACATATAGTAGACTGCATTAACAAAAACACATGTGCAGGAAGATGACAATAAATTAATAGCTTTTAAATTGAAAATGGGCTATATTGAAGGTTATGATTCATTTGTATTTAAACTGGCTATCAAAGATAAAATAGGATAGAAATTGATATCCTTACTATTACTCTAACATTTCAATATTACAGTAAGTGCTTTATCGCTTTACTTGGATAGATTCAAAGCAAGTTAGGTACATAGTGACCTAATTCATATTTTGTGCTCTCAATTTAGCTGTGATTTATTGAATAAACTTTATATAGTTCAAAGAAAAAAAGACAGTATACAGACTATGGTGGCAGGGCACTCAATATGTTAACCAAATCCAGGTGAACTACATTATTGTGATCCAATGAAAAAACTAAACCTTAGATCCCCTTGAAAGCTTTGACTATTAGCTAAAGTTCTAAGTAGCAGACATTTAAATACTCGTAATGCACTCCAAGAAGGACAGCCTGTGGAGACAATCTGAAATTGCAGTTGTCTAGAAAGCAGCAGCTAGGCTGTTCAAAGGTCAACTGTGCCACTGTGGAGCAATATTACTGTGTACTAAATAAGTACACAGAGGATTGCTGCCTTATTATCCAAATAATTTCTCTCTCAAGGACAGCCCTCTACCTTTTCCCAAAGAAAGTACAATAGATTTAAAACATATACTAGCTCTTTAGAGAGTCAGGCCCTTACATAGGCCTTTACATTCTTGCAGACTATCTTAATAAAGTTTCTATTGATGTTTTTGGTTCCCAAATAGTTTAAGAGACAGATGATAGGAAGAAAGGATAACAATAATATTGTGATAACATAAAAGGGGCCATTGGATCATTGCCTTGGAGTTGTCTCAGTCATAGCACAGTTAAGTAAAGCTTTAGAAAAACAGGGGGTCTTGAATTCTAGGGTGGGCAATCTGTAGACCATTGAGAATCTTCTTGCATCACTCCACCAAGATTTAATGATTTAATTAATGTTCAGGATGTCTTATGAAGTCATAACAGTTAAGGTGTGGGTTCTGATTATACATAATGTCTAGAACAGGAATGTCAAACACAAGGCCCAGGGGCCGGATGCGGCCCGCGAAGTGGTTTCATGTGGCCCACGAAGCCATCCTGGAAACAGTGAGGGAACGGCCCCTTCTGCCTTGGCCCTGGCCCAGGCCAGCCGGGAGCCAATGTACAATTTTGTGGTGGCCATCTATGCTGAAACGTATTCAGTCTTAGCTCCATAAGCCCCCCCCCCCGCATGGCCTGAGAGGAACAGTGAGGCTCCTCCAGTGGACCATGCCTTGGCACTTGCCCTGGTCCCACCCCCTTCTGCCAGAGACCCTCAGATCTATCCCACTCCTGCCCAGGCCCACACAGGCACCCTTGACGCGAATGATGTAGAGCTGGCCACACCCACCCAGCTTCCTGAGGGCAACCGCAATGCTGATGCGGCCCTCAATGAAATTGAGTTTGACACCCTTACTCTAGTAGGATGGGTAAATTGTTTTCTTATTTTTATGTGACTTCTAAAAAATATTTGTTATAAAGTTCTGCTCCTTTTCAAAATATACTGTAGGAAATGTCTGCCCAGCCCGAGTTTTATGAATTGTTACAGCTCAACATAGACAAAATAAAGCAGCATCTTTATTTAATATATAACCATAAGTACAAACATGTTTATTACTTAAGACCTGTTTTGTTTATGATATATATTATATAGTTTCAATACCACAGCCCTGTTGCATTTCATACAGAGCACACTGTAGAAACAGAAATTGATTTTAAGTTAAAAAATATTAAACAAAGTACAAGAAGCCCTTCAATCTGAAATAGAAATCAAACTTACATTTCTATTTCTTCTACTTGCTTAAGCTAGGTTGATTAAAGAAAAACTACATTCCAGACTGCCATTTTAAAACTCACCCTTATGAATTCTGGGGAGTTTCTGAGCATGTGCATGCGCGCACACACACAGACCCATTATTTCAATAAAGTACTGAAATATAATACAAAAAAGAAAACAAAACACTGAAAACAAGCCTATATAAATGTGTTAGAGAAACAAAAGTTTCAAAGAATAATAAGTATTAGCTCTGGGATTTATAATGAAGCTAATAAAATTCAGACCAATAATCTTAAAACATAACAAACAGCATTTTTCATATTGAACACATGAGACGTTAATGAAGGCCAGAACGTTGTGTAATGTAAAGCATTTCAGACGTTGCAGTTCACCAGACGTAATTGGATTCAGGGCCTCCTTGGCTCTTTTCAGCCTGTTTAGGTGAAGGCGTCTGCTGTCTGTGCTTGATGCCTGTTGGCCTCATGGCATTAAGAAGATTGGTCCCATACCCTAAAAAAACAAGCCAGTTCAAAACTGAAGAACTACCAAAGGAGACCTGTGGTTGTCACTCTTAGTATTTTACATGCAAAAGTATTCTACATTTGAGAGAGAGAGAGGGGGGGGAGGGAGGGAGGGGGGGAGGAAATGTACTAGTTCAACAGTTGGAGAGCAAATTTAGGTAGCTGTGTGGTAATGGATAAGGCAGGAACCCAGAAGCATGTGAGTTCTAGTCCCGCCTTGGGCACAAAGCCAGTTGGGTGACCTTAGTCAGGTCACTTTTTCTCAGCCTTAAGAAGAAGGGAATTGCAAACTATTCTGGGGGGGGGGGGGAATCATGCCACAAAAACTAAAGGGACTTGTCCAGACAGTCTCCAAAAATCAGATATGATGGAATGGAAGAAAAAAAAACTTATGCTGTAAAAGCAACAGTCATTATTTTAAAATGTGGCACTGTGACATTACTAAAAACTGTTGCTTGGAACCCAGTTGTTTAGAAAACAGTAACTGATAACTTATCACCATCAATTATTCTAGACTCACATATTTAATGGTCAATAGTTGTATGCTAGGATTTCATCTGAAGATTACATCCTTCAGATAAGATTACATTGTCACTATATCACCCAAAATCATTATAACACTCTTACATACAGACATATCTAAAACTTAGATTTCTTGGGACTTACTTTTATTGCAGTTCCTTCCATGCCATCCATCTTGACATTGACATACATTTGGCTCAATACAGATTCCATATAATCCACAGCTAGGTTCACAGACAGCTATAATGGTTTATATGAATATCAAACTCAATGTCTTTCTACAGAAGAACCTTATATTATACAATTCTTATTTGTATGATGTGAAGACAATGACCCTCTGAATCTGCCACCCTCTCCTTTTCTTCCAGCTATCAAGATATCTAAACCAAGTAACAGTTCCCAAATTCTGAAAACCTAAACTGTGGCAAGATTTACTGACCTTCCACCATGTTGCTCTTGAAAGGAAATGTTGAGGTATATAGTAGGTAGTCCTTATTTAGCAACTGCCTCATTTAGCAATTGTTTGCAGTTATGAGAATGATGAAAAAGTACCTTTATGACCAAGCTTTTCATTTATCACCTTTGCAGGTTAGTAAAGCAAAGAAAACTGAAGTAAGATCATAAGTACAGTCATGGTTTCACTTCATAACTTCTTCACTTAATGACCAAGTTGCTGATTCCAATTGTAGTTGCTAAACAAAGACTACCTATATTCCATTCAAAGGCTTTGCCGTTGTGTTGAAGGAGTTAATGAAATACTAATCTATGTTTTAGTATATTGCCCTGGTTATAAATATGCCCTATTACAGGTAATGTCTCCCCAGTTGGTCACATTTCCAGATCACCTGGATTCATTATAGTTATGATTGTCCAATCAGTATAATTTGAGTTCTATGAATGTAACTACTTTTTGTTTTACTGTTTACTGTAAGATATATTGTACTTGGATCACATTAATTTTATAATTATTTAGTTTTATTATGATTTTTATTTGCTGACTCAGAATTTGTTGTCTTATGTTTTTATTTGATCAATAATTGTAATAAAGCTTATTGATTGACTGATTAACTAAATCTTCTATTAATCTTCTTAAAAAGGTATCCTACTTACGTTTTGAACAAAGGTCTCCCTGGTAACCTTTGGAGCACTTACATTTATTTTTACCAGTACATTTACCTCCATTTCGACATGGCTGATGGCATTTGCCTAGGAATACAAAATGTGACACTAGTGCCTTGTTTTATTGAAATCAAAGCTAATCTAACAGTTGTTATGTCTTTGGTCAGTTGAGACTTTCACATAACACTTTTTGTAATGTAATCTAGGTTGCTGTGGATGCATATGAAAATAGGAATTCAGAGATTGCTCCTACAGATAGTCCTTGACTTATGATCACAATTGGAACTGGAATCTCAGTGGTAGAATGAAGCAGTGATTAAACAAGATGCCCACGTTATCAGTTCACTCAGTGACCGCAATCCTGTTGCGGTCATTAAGCAATCTCCCAGGTCGTTAAGCAGATGGAGTGATAAATCTACCTGCTGGGAGGGAATCGTAGTTCTCTGTGAGGCTGAGATTCCCTTCTAGAAAGTAGCCATTTTGCTCCCCTTTCACCTCTGAGTTTGGTGGCCTCTCCAAATGCCAACTCGAACAATGAGGAAGAGCAGCTCCGGAGACTTGGGGAGGGGTTGCGGTGGAATGCTAGGAAGTTGCTGAGGGTCCTGAGAGGCCAGGCTCATTGGAAAGATCACTGGAGGAGTGCACAGCTGCAGCCAACCAGTGGGGATGAGGAGGAATTGTCCCCTTCATTTAATCCGAGGACATGCAGGGCAGAATGGAGGCAGGCTCAATGGAAGTTGGTGAGGTTACTCATGAGGAGGCAGCCTCACCCCTCCTAACAAGCTATACCAATGAGCGCCTATTTAGTTGGATAAGTGGAGCAAGAGGTTGTTGGAAACAACCACCCATTCACTTGCCATGTGCATGCTTCACATTCAGTTTCCTTGACTCTGGATTGTGCTGCTCTTGACTGTGTGCTTGAACCTTGGACTTGTTTGTGGATTTTGGACTCCTGTCTTGGACTTCGGAGTTGACTTGGACTATGGACTTGGTGGATGTTTGATTTTGGATTTGGTAACCTTGTACCCTGACTGAACAGTATTAGACTCAATAGGACTTTGCATTGCATGCAACTGGGAACCTGGGGATTAATATTAAGGGCTTGGATTATCAATAATGTCATTTTGTGCATTTTGTGCATGTGGACTGAAACAGGACACTGAGATTCCTTCCTTGCCAGCAGCACTTTCACTCCCCTTTCAAGTCTGAGATTCCTCTCAGCAGAAAAGCTCTTTCAGCCAGCCTCTAGAGATGAGATGGAGTTCTTCTGGCAGATGGCAACAGCTTACAAGCTTTCCTGTTAGCTTCCCCATTGATGTCTGGGGAAGCTGGCAGAGAAAATTGAAAATGGAGATCACATAATCATTGGGGCAACTGGCCATAAGTGTGAACAGGTTGCCAAACACCCAGATTATGATCGTGTTACTGTAAGGGTGACATTGCAATAGATGCTGCTGCTCCACTGTGTTCAGCTGTGATCATGTGTTCATGATTTCTGATACTTCCTGCTAGCTTCCACAAGCCAAGTTAATGGAGAAGCTAGGAGAAAGTCACAACTTGCTCCTTGTCCCACTGTTTTTATGCCCATCTGTTGAAATTCTGTTTATCAGTTTAGGTAAGGACATTTCTGTGACCCAAGAGGTCACGGGGTTGTCTGGTTAATCTCTGAATGTCATCATATCTATTCACATGGCCTTAAGTGGAGACTTATACAGAATTGTACAGAATGCTATACCACTTGATTTTTTCTTTAAGCTAATGACTGCATTTTTTTCTAGTTGATATCAGTGGTGTTTTAATAATCTACAGGTGGTCCTTTACTTACAAATACAACTGAGCCCAAAATTTCTGTTGCTAAGCAAGACAGTTGAGTTTTCCCCTATTTTATGACCTTTCTTGCCATAGTTGTTAAGTGAATCAGTGCATTTGTTAAGTTAGTAACATGGTTGTTAAGTGAATCTGGCTTCCCTATTGACTTTGTTTGTCAGAAAATTACAAAAGATGATCACCTGACCTGGGACACCGCAACCGTCATAAATATGAGTCAGTTGCCATGCATCTGAATTTGTTCACATGACAGTGGGGATGCTGCAATGGTCATGTGAAAAACGATCATAAGTCACTTTTTTCAGTGCCGTTGTAACTTTGAACAGTCATTCAATGAACTGTTTAAGTTGAGGACTACCCATATATCCATTGTAGGCTGGCTGCGGAATTATGGGAATTGAAGTCCAAATTTTAAAGTTGCCAAGTTTGGAGACCTAGAATATTAATAACTTATTATAATCATTCCTTATTATAATCAGGAATGCTTATGTATCTGGGATTTTTCATATTGAGTAATAACATAAATATAGTGTCTAATTGTCGTCTATTGTATTCTTAGTATATAAAGGACAAAAAAAATCTGTCCCACAGAAGGACTGCACTATGATAGATAAATTACACTTGGACTCTGTTGTATGTACCATCATCTGATATTTTGGAAATTTCAAGCGAAATATTTCAAATTTAATTAAAAGAAATAAAAACAAGACTCACTAATTTCACACTGATTCCCTTCCAATCCTGCAGGACAAATACATTTTTCTGGATAAAAGCATATTCCTCCATTGAAACAGATGTTTGTACAGTTTGCTGTGGGATATAGTATTAGACTATTACATATAGTATAATAGATAATTTACATAAAGTTTTAGTGAAGTTGAATAAAATTTTCAGTCTTTTTAAAAGCCAAAGAGCTCAACAAAAAACATCCTGATCTATTGTACCATGTTTATATATGCAGATAACCAGCATACTTTCCCTGAAGGAGGCATCTTAGTGTCCTCTAAATGTTGTGGACTACAACCTCTGTAAGGTTTTAATATTGGCCATGATGGCTGATTCTGATTGAAACTGAAATTAAAAACATCTGAAGTAATGCAGTTTGTGTTCATCAGACCTGCAACAGTTAGAAAGTACAGTAATGGCCAAAATTGTGGAAACCTTTTGGGAAAAGTGTACAGTAGAAATGCCATCTTTGGTTAAGTTTCCACCAACTTTTCTTCTAATTTCTTTATAACTGTAGCCTTGTTCACTTAATAATACTATTTTACATCGCTTTCTGGGCGACCAGTCAACTCTTTGCACCATTGTTTTAATTTTATTACATTTTACAAGCTCACTAAATGAAAGAACACAAAAAACCCCAACCACCTTGATAGCGATCACATAACACACTGACAAATGTCCTCCTCTCAGCTTCAATACATGACATCAATAACTGAATCCTACTGTGATCTGATTGGCTCATGGCCAAAGCAAAATGACACCTGATTGGCTCTCTAAACACTCATGCTCATTGGCTACAATCAGATGAAGGAAAGCTACCTGAGATCAGCCTAAGCAAGTTGTGCTTCCTTTTTCTGGTTATTTGGCTATGCCTTTTCATAGAATACAGTACAGATAATTGAGCAAATGTTGCATTACATTGTTGATTAAATTATCTTTCCATTGATATATAATTTTATGGTACTACTCCAAAAAAAGTGGTGTTATTAGCCATCAAACCTCAAAAATACACTTTTCCCAAAAGGTTTCCACAATTTTGGCCATTACTGTTATGATGCTTGGGACCGATTTATCTATTTGCATAGTGAATGATATTAAGCTTCTATCATCCTAAAAAATCCTAATTCAGTGAAAATGAAATTGTTCAAGAATTCTCCAGCTCATTCCACACTTAATTTTCTGAGAGTCAGCTAGGTCATGCTTTTTTCATTTGATGTTTGTGATCAAAAGGAAAGTGCATCCAAGAATAAACACATAGAATGCAGGAATATAATCTTGTGCAAACTTTAAGACAACTACATGCTAATAGGTGGAAATATATGTTTCTTTCCAGGTATCTATTTCTATCCACCATACCTTTGTTACAGTTGATGCCATAGAAACCAGGTGGGCAGACACATAATCCCGGCATGATGCAGAGTCCGCCATTCATGCAATGTGGTGTACACAGAGCTGATTTAAAGAGTGAAGAAACAGTATTAAACTGAACAATTATCATTAACATATTGAGAGGATAGACCTTAAAATATAAAGCATTTTTTATCTCACAACAGAAATAACTTTCTCTCCTGCAAGGAAAAGTGTTGATTCACTGGTAGATATTCTAATGATACAAGTAAGACTCGAGCTTGATTTTCAAGTAAGGTTTTTTTTATAACTAGCTTGTATGAATACCAAACTGCAGCTAGTGGAAGTAAATTGAAATTTTACTTAACATTTTTGATGGGCTGTACATACATATATTTCTTGCGTGCATGAAATACAAATAGATTATGCTTATTGGATCTGCCATAGGCCACAGTCAGTGCCAGTCCGTGTTCCTAATCCCAGGGAGCCAGGAAAGAATGATTTCATCTTTCAGTTCCTATAATTAACTGCCATCCAAATGAAGGGCAGGAAAATGATGCAGCTGAAGTCAATGTATCTAGAAGATACCAGTTCCAAAAGACTGTGCAAGTGTGCACAAGTTAGGAACATTTTAGAAAGAGATTCCATAATACATCCTTCTCTCTTCTAAGGTAAAGAGGAACTTTAGTCCTGACAAATAGGGCGCAACTAAAAGTATTATTGGAGGTCTTTGTCCTTTTGGACATTCTCTTGAGAAATGATAGAATAAAACAACATATTTTCAAATTAATGTTCATTCCACTTAATGTTTTGCCAAAGTTCTCATTAAATTGTTGGCCTGTTCTTTTTTTGCCTTTCAGATCTTTTAGTGGAAACTTCTTTATCTTTTCTATAAACAAACAATGCTTTCTTAAGAGCTGCAGTTCATTAAATACTTTTCTTATTAGATTAGATTAAATTTTAGAAAGCCTCCTAGCCATATCCAAAACAATATTTTTGAAAGAAGTGACTGCTTAGCTTCTTCTTTTTGTATAAACAAAGTACAGAATAGAACTGAAGAACTCTTTTTGATTACCTTTTTCACAGTGAAGACCATAAAATCCATCTGGACAGTCACAGACATGCCTTTCATTACAAAATCCCCCATTTCTGCATCCTCCAGGACATTCAGCTTCAAAAAAGATGATGTAGACATAGATTAAATTAATTTACTTATTTGTTGCTTAAGTACACCAGCTTCTATTGATGATGTAATAGGGATTCCAAAAAGAATGTCTCTCTGTCAGAATCTCTGATATTTTTGTAGCACACACAGACTAAGATTTGTAAGAAAACTATAATCAAAAGCATGCATGTCAAAATATAATTTAAAGGAATATTAAGAGAAAGATGTAATGAAGGAAAATTTACAGTTTTATTGTCCCACTTGCAAGACAAAGAAAGTTCTATAAATAGTTTTTGGAAGGAATAGCCCAATTTAAAACTGTAGGATTTAACTGTGAAATCTCAATTTAATGGAGGACAAACTGGCAACTGGCTCTTCTCTCACTGGTAAACCTTTGATCTTCCTTCATCTTTGACCTCCAACAGACCCATCTGCATTTAGTAAAAACAGTTCCCATGCTATTTCTTCCTCTTAAGGTTTTTCTTTGGATTTCTTTAGCAATGTTCTCCAGATTTGCCCTGAGCTACCAAGCCTTCAGCAGTGTAAATATGGTCCAGTCTAACTGAGATTTGCCTGACTGCACAGATCTTCAATCACCAGAGCTATCTAGGTCCATCTTAATTGCCAGCTATTACCTCCATTTCAGTTCTCTGGTCATTTAAGACAGTTTCTACTGCTTCATAGTCCCCTTTGTCCTCTTATACAAAATGTTTTATGAGAAACAAAACTATGCTATAATCCCAGCTTCTCCCTATCAGCAAAAGTGCCAAGTGTTGTTTGGGCTTTTGCATGGGTATGCAACTACAGGTAGTCCTTGAGTTACAAATGTAATAGAGCCTACCCATTCCATTTGTAGGAGTGAATCTCGTACCTTGAACGTGATTCACTCCCAGCTTTAGCCCATGCATTCGCTAATTTAATGCGTGGGCGAATGCACTGCTCGTTAAGTGAACATGAGATATCTTAGGATTGGGAAGGCCATGGGGGGCCTAGTGATGGAACAGGCCATCTGCTTCAGACCACCCAAGCCCCCCTGCCTCTGAGATGCCTCATGCTCCCTCCCCTGTGGTCCCCCCAATTACTCCCCCACCCAATCATGCCGTGCCGGGTCACTTACCTTGTGAAGATCTATCTCCTATCCAGCCTGTTTCTTTCTCTGCTCCTGGCAAGAGAGCAGAGGCTTCTGGAGGCTTCCGAGGCCCAGAACGGACCTCCGGATGCACGCAAAAGCCTCTCCTGGTCTCCATTCTGGGCCTTGGAGGTCTGAAAGAGATCTCTGAGGCCCAGAACGGACCTCCAGAGGTCCACGGAAGCCTCCCCCAGCCTCCTTTCTGGATGGCAGCGGCCTGGAAAAGGCCTTCAACGGCTGGATCGGGCTTCATAGATGTTTGCGGAAGCCTCCCCCGGCCTCCTTTCCCGGTGGCAGCAGCCCAGAAAAGGCCTCTGACACCTGGATCGGGCTTCCGAAGGCACATGAAAGCCTCCCCCGGCTTCAGTTCTGTTCTCTGTTGCAAAGAACAGAGGCCTAAAGTCCCGTGAGATCATGCGAGATAGTAGTGTGAAATTTTGCGCCACTGATCTCGCATGATCTTGCGTTACTTTAGGCCTCCATTCTCTGTGAATGCACCGAAGGCCTAGAGCAGCCAAGAAAGCGAAGGATTTCAATCTTCACAAGATGAGTATCCAAGACCTACTGCCTAGGCTAGGAGGGGGAGAAGGGAGGGAATAGCCAGGGTGACAGTTGCAGTGTCACTGCGGTCGTTCGTAAGGGTGAATGACTGCCGTGGTGCGGCAACATTCATAATTTTGAGACTTTTTCGTAAACACTAGGGGGCCCTTACCGCATAACTTTGAATGTTCGCTAAGGGAACGCTCATAACTTGGGGATACCTGTAGCCAGCAGGAATATGTAGCTGAATGATAAGCCACCTATTTTCTTCATTTTTTATCTTCTGTTAATTATCTGCTTTTTCTGAAATCTGCCTGCCTCCCTGCTTTTTCTGAAATCAGCCTTTCTTTCTTTTTCTTTCTTTCTTTCTTTCTTTCTTTCTTTCTTTTTCTTTCTTTCTTTTTCTTTCTTTCCTCTCTCTCTCTCTCTCTCTTTCTTTATTTGTATCCTGCTTTTATTATTTTTACAAATAACTCAGGGTGGCAAGCATGCCCAACACAGCTTCCTGCTCCTATTTTTCCCATAACAACAACCCTGTGAGGTGGGTTGGGCTGAAAGAGTGACTAGCCCAATGTCATCCAGTTAGCTTTCACAGGTGGACTTGAACTCATAGTCTCCTGCTTTCTAGACTGATGCCTTAACCTCTAGACCAGGAATAGGTCAGGAATTCTGTGTACTACACTACTAATAATGTTTGGATTATTAGGATCTCTTATTACTACGCCAGATATTTCCCACTCTCTTGCTTCAGGATTAGGAAATAGGATCAAATGTTGATATTCCCAAAATAATGAAAACTCTGAAAACAGACAAATCTTTATTCAGCCCCTTCCAGTTACCTTGCTGACATGTTTTAAAGAAGATGGCATTCTGTGGTGTTTGCAGTATGATAGTGCCTTCTGAATTCATTACAATTACTGTAACTTCAAATGCTGCCACTCCATCTTGTTTTCCAAGACAAGGAAATCCAACTTCAACAACTAAAAACAAAAGGAAAAAAGGTACACATTTTTAGTGGCATGTTAATTCCATTAAGAACAATATTTTATTATATGAGAAATCTGGATTTGAAAAATAGACACGATATATGGTTTTCTTCCTAATGGCATTTAGATAAGAAGTGAAACAGAACTCTTTCACATATCTTATATGTTATTCGGATAATGGATGATGGAGAAGCATTGACAAATATTTTTATGTGCTTTTATTATTGATTTTATATTGAGATATATAACTCCATATTTATCTCTGGTAGTGCTGGTGCAGTGGTTAGAATGCAGTATTGCAGGGTAATTATGCTGAGTGCCCACTGCCAGCAGTTCGGCAGTTCAGTTCTCACCGGCTCAAGATTGTAAGGAACCACTTCAATCCACATCTTAAGAAAGCAGAACTCTTGGAAACGGTCTCTTCCAACAGGAACTTTTATTAAGAGAAATTGATAGCAGGCATGATAGACAGGATCTGAGGGATTTCCTTACCAATCAATGTTTTAAAGTGTCCCTAAGCAACCCCCACCCTGCAGTTCTTCCAGGCGATTCAGACCGGCAGATTTCTAGGTGTTAAATCCAGGAAAGATAACATCAATCCGGCTCCGTTGGACACGATCATTCAACAGCTCCTCACACCTTATTTTGATGATGGATAAATAAACCAGATCCTGGAGACTGCATCTTTTCATCCCCCCCCCCCCTTTTCCTAGCTGGCCGGTAAGGAGGAGAGGTTCAGAGGGGCATAGGATGAAAGGCAAATGGTTACATTGTGATGGTTAGCAGACCCAAAAGCAAATAAACAAAAGGTTACTTTGTAGTGAATAGAGGAAGTGAAAGTAATAAAACCCGCATGCATACCCCCCTCCTCCTTAGGAGTATGGCAGGATCCAGGAGAGGGTAAGAATTGGCTTTATATCAAAGAAGATAGATGGAAAGGAAATATAACTGGATTCTGACATCCTGCCCCCCTTAAAATAAGAGAGATCCACCTGTAGAGAAAACAAAACAGGTATAAAAGTTAGTCTGGCTTGTTAGGATACTCTGTATGAAACTTCTTTAACAGCTTCGGGGCTCTGACATGACGTTTATGGACCCACTTGTTTTGTGAGGAGGGGAGTGTTTCCATGCTACTAGGTATTGAATTGTCCCATGATATCTCCTAGAGCAGGGCTTTTCAAGCAGTGGTACGGGTGCCACCTGTGGTACATTGGCACCTGGCAGGTGGTACGCGACCATCCTAGAAAAGTGGTAGCAGAGGAGGGGAATGAGCTGAACTGGTGGCAGCACCGCACAAGCCTGAGCGAGAGATGGTTGGAGCTGCAGGGCTGTCAGGGCTCAGCGGAAGCACCAGGATCAAC